CCACAACGATGTCAATCTAATCAACACATGAATGAAAGCCTATCCGTGACGAATTATTCATGCGTTAACAAACCGATCACACATCGAACAATGGACAAATAAATGGCATTTTAACGGGCCAGAAAGGAAATTCAGAGAATTGGCTTCTGAAAGAGGGGTAAAATACTAGACGTTGTAAGGAAAATTTTTAGTGTTGTTCAAAAAAACATTTTTTCATTTCAAAAACGGAACGCCTAAGGCGGTATGAAATTCTAGGACTTGAGCATTACGACATTTTGATAAAAATCGAGAAAAAATTTTGGTTCTTCTTTATCGAATAAAATTTGACTATTTCGGGCTAAATTCAATATGTATCTTGTCAAGCTCAAATTCAAATTGGAATCCGATCTAGTGAACATAAAGAAAACATATTCAATCTCTTTCAATTTTGAAAAATCTATACATTAAAATGAGCTGTTTTGAATATTGTCAATGGAGGTGATTAAACATGCCGTGTGATAGAGGCCAAATCACGGGGCGAAAATATTAACGCGAGCCAAAAGACTCTAAACCGCGTAACTCTTCTAGATTATAGTCCGATGGTATGCAAGTGATTTTGGCTTTCGGTAAACCGATCACTTGATCAGTCGGTTTAACTGAATCTGTGGTGGTTGCTGAGGGGTTGTCTTCATTATCATCATCCACTTGGGCATCTACTAACTCTGGATTTTCACTTCCCGTGTCTGATTTATCGTCCTGAAAGAAGCTCGAATAATCAAAGCCTAATCAAACCCTGTATGCTGTTCAATTCTCCTATCATCAATTCAAAGCAAATGTGTCCCTCTCAGGTTTTTCGTGCTTTCATAACGAGAAGGAAATTTTAGAAGGGTACCAAAAAATAAGCAGTCGTTCAAGTGATCAATGACAATCATAAATCCAATGATCTCAAGAGATCAGATGACATTCAAGAGAGCAAGTTGTTGTTGGCTCAGCCAGTTCCAAATTGTTTTCACACTCGAAACATTTCATATTTACCGCGCCCTTTTGATTTTCACAACTTCTAATCAAATGATCATGGAATAAGCAACACGTACCCCAGATTCAGTGTCGAATGCATAAAACGAATCTTCAAAAACTTTCGGCGGTTGGTCCTCAATTGCCGTTTTTATCTCCGATACTTGATCAATTGGAGCGTTCATGGCGACAGACTTCACGGGCTCACTCCCTTCAGTTTCGTTCGAGTTTGTCACGTTCTGTTCTGCTGACGAACAAAGGTTCATAACAAAAATTCAACCGATGACAATCCAATCGAGACAAACAACAATGATGATGATATATCCAGTGGCAAGTAATCAACTTCATGCATAACGACTGCTGCTAACATGCATTTGTTCAAATTAACATGCAATTCAGGCAACTTTACCAGTTTCACGTTGAATTATCGGTTGATAGACGGGTTGCTGAGGGTAGTTTCTTGTGTATGCGTTGTGCATATTTGGTAGACTGATATAAATGCTATCGCTCTACAAATACGTGAGGTTGATATGATCATGTGCGCTAAATGATGAGCATATGTTGGAAAGTGAGAATCTGTTGATAGACTGAAGGAATGAAAAGAATGC